TATTTTTTGCTCTTTTTAGAATCTCACACCATACTTTAATTTTATTCCTTGTAAATAAAAAGTTATTTGAACTTGAATATTGATATAATATATAATAAAAATAATAATACTCCTTTTGTCCATGAATAATAACACACTCAAATTGAACACACGTGTTTCATTAGTTTGAACTTAAATATGTTTAATTAAATATTAGTGAAAAATATTGTGAGGTTGATATTTTGATGCCTTATATAAATCCATACTTCTTACTTAACAACATATTTCATATCAAAAAATATTGTGAAAAACTACCTGTTATACTCCAGAATTTGCGAGAAACTACCTATAAAAAAATGTTGTAGTTGACTGTCTATCATTTAAAAAATGTTGTAATTTACTACCTTACGCCGGATTATGAAGTTTGACCAAAATTTTCCGGCGTTGATTTGGTCACGTGACCATCACTTGACACTTAGTGACCATCACGTGGGGAAATTGTGAGAAAATTTGAGAAAGAAAAGGGTCATTAAGTGTCAAGTGATGGTCACGTGACCAAGTCAACGTCGGAGAATATTGGTCAAACTCCTTTGTAATTCGGCGTAAGGTAGTAAATTACAACATTTTTCAAAAATTAGATAGTCAATTACAACATTTTTTTAATAGGTAGTTTCTCGCAAATTCTAGACTATAATTGGTATTTTTTCACAAAATTTCCTTCATATTAACATTTGTTTTATTCTATTGCCGAAAAAAAAAAACTATGGTCAAAATAGTGAAAAAAATCACACGTCAATTATTCTAGGACAGATCGATGAATACTAATCAAATTGGTTACATGTCAACATTCACTTTTGTGAAAAAATCATCATACACTCGAGTGTACCATGCGTATGGTACACCCGGTCAAAATACAAGGAAAATAATAAACGCGGAAAGAACATCATGTACAAATAAAGTACAAGACCTTTTGTCAAAAAAAAAGTACAAGACCAAAAGAATTCCAAAACAATTCTCTCTCTGGTTTAGTGGATTGATTTATATTTATGAATTGATTAATTATTGGCATTCCATATTACTTTTGGTAAACAAAATTTTATTTTATTTTTTTGTTAAGAGAGAGAAATTAAGTTGATATAGAGATAGAAATTAAACCATGGTAAATTTTGAAGTGATTCAATGTTATAACGGGGTTGATCGTTCCAGTGAATCTTTTAATCAAAAGATATAATTATTGACTAATTCGATATTGGAAGAAAAGGTTTTTTTCAATTTTTTTTCCTGTTAATTTCTGATGTTGAAGATAATATTCTTCATATTATGATGAATGTACTTTTATCATTTCTTAGATCCATATACATTTTTGAATTAGAATGAAATTTGTTCTTTGAGTATGAATTATATGTTCTTTACATTACAAACAATATTAAGGTATTTACAACAAATTAAACATAATTACGTATCAATAGTATTTTCTGATGTTGAAGATAATATTCTTCATATTATGATGAATGTGCTTTTATCATTTCTTAGATCCGTATACATTTTTGAATTAGAATGAAATTTGTTCTTTGAGTCTGAATTATATGTTCTTTACACTACAAACAATATTAAGGTATTTACGACATATTAAACATATTTACGTATCAATAGTACAAATTATGTTCTTTATATTACAAACAATGTTCCTTTATCAATAAGATGAATATTATATTATATTATAATCTAATATATATATATAAAGGGGAGTTTTTTCCCGAGTTATTAGAGAGCAATGTAGGATTTAATTTTCTTAGCGCGCATTATAAATTTCAGTTGTAGCCAATAAAATAAGAGATTATTAATTTCTTTTAAAAATTAAATAATTCAAATGCCATGTAAGCAAAATTGGCGAATGAGATTTTTAAGCTTAAATTAATTAAATATAAAATATTATCTTTTGATAATATGAATTTTATTTAAATATATAACAAATCAGCACATAAATAAAAAAAAATTAAAAATTTCAAACAAACCGTGCATCGCACGGGCTTCATCTAGTATATATATATATATATATACATTTATATATATATATACATATATATATACATATACATATACATATACATATATATATATGTATATATATATATGTATATATATATATGTATGGTGAAAAAAAGTGATCAATTTTATTTTTAGAGAATTTTTTAAAAGAAAATCAATACTTTATTACTATACTAAAGTAATCACCGTGATTATCCCCTAATACACGTGTCGAGTTCTCATTAAAAAATTTCCCGCCCAAAGTGTTTTTTTTTGTCTTCTAAAAAAGTTTTTTACATTATTTTTTAATGTAAATATGAAGATTGGATATTGGTTTAAATTGGTATTATCTCTTAAATAATTAATAAAAATAAAACACTTCTGATAATTAAAAAAAAGGTTTGTTTGAGATAAAATTACGTAAATTATTAATAGATAAAACAAAGTTTTTTTTTAGGGGGAAGATTAAAATTCATTAATAATAATTCATACGGCACTTACATAAGAAATCGTAATCGAACATTACTAAGACAATTGAACCAATTACAAGTTCAAAATAAAATAATCTACAATTGCACGCGCAAATCGACTTCTTGAAATACCCTTGTCTCATATAACGCTGTCCTATGCAGCCTCTTGCAAGGGGGTCTAGCAATAAGTTGTAGTTTCTAACGTGAACCTTAATTGACTTAGAAGCCTGTACTCCTCGACCTGAATTCAAATTTGGTGTCGTACAAATTATCATTGACAAAACAATCTCCGATTCAAACACGAATTTCGGCTTGGAAGCATAACCCTTCAGCCCAAACCAAAACAAGATCAAACCAAAGCCCCATAACCAAAAAACCCAACTTAAATCCTGCACCAGAAGATCGGCACATCGATCTACACTCCCCATAGCACACAAAGGCACCACACAAAAAGAAAAAATAACAAGCCCGAATAAACCACACACACAAACAGACAAAAAAGAGACCCGAAAACCGCACACACCACTAATAGAAAAAATAGAAGGAAACCTAAAAAAGAAAACTAAGAACGTAAACATAACAATCGACCCCGCAGCCCATCCGAGCACCACCACCAATTCTCCGAGATTCACCAACCCAAACCACACACCGCCGGACAGTAAGGCCCGAACCGCAGAGACCCGCCCGAGAGGCCCAAACCCCACAAACCCCTTACCCGCGGAAGCGACGGTTGGAAGCACCAGACTGAGAACGGCCCTACTCGAGGGACTCAGAATCTCCCTCCCCATTCTCATACAAAACGTCGCGACGACGGGCGAGGCGGTGGAGCAGAGAAACGGCGGGGAAGCGGAATAGAAGATCGGCGGCATGCCGGCTTCAAGGCCGGTGAGGATAAGAGGCGGCCGAAAAGGGGCAGCGACGCTTGTTGCTAGGCCGACCAGACAAAAAAACCAACACGAAAAACGAAAAAAACACCCTAAGAAAGTAGATCGGAGGCTCGCCGACGATGTGGCATGGGCGGTGAGCCACACGCCCCCCGGCGAGCCTCATGGCCGGAGAAGTTTTTTGCGAGAAGGGTAGGTTTTGGGAGAGAAAAAGCTAGAGAGAGAAGTTGAGCAATATGTTTAGATAAAACAAGGTTTGTTATTACTTTTTTTTTGTTTTGTTATCTTCTAAAAAAGTTTGTCATACTATGATTGGATATTGCTTTAAATTGGTAATTATCTTTTAAAATTTTAAGAAAATAAAACACTTTTGATAACTAAAAATAAATAAAAGGTTTGTTACTATGAACTTTTGGTAAGTTCACGTGTCGCATTAACAACAACAAAAAAATTCGCCAAAATTTTTTATTTTAATTTTTTTTCTCTTAAAAAACAACATGATGATGAAAAGTAACAAAAAATTATAAAAAAAATATATACATAAATCATTCCATTTAAAATAACTGACTTTAATTTTTTGATTTACAAGTCTTATTATTATGTAACCATGCATGGCACGGGGAAAAATCTAGTGATTGAAATAAAATAATTTGGAAAGTGAAATTTTAAATTTTGGAAGTTGAAAAGATAACTTTGAATTATTTTTAGTTGAAATAATTTTATATAAAAAAATTTTGAAAACTAAATATTTTGAAATGATTTGACACTATATGTATGTGTAAAAATCAATTATTAATTTTCTTTTACCTTTTTGAAACAATGTTTCTTAGAAATAAACTGTGTTTTTTAAAATTTTAATGTTGTATTCTTTTATAAATTCATAACGTTCTTTACGACTATAAGTGATGTTCTTTCAACTTAATTCGGGTGTACCATTCGCATGGTACATCCAGGTGCACGAACTAGCAACATTTGATCTCCTTTATAACTAGCATTGATGATAGCACGATTGATAGCTAACTATCCCAATTTTCAGCTTTTAAAAAGCACAATTAAGTAAAAAGAACTTTTTTTTGGTAAGTTTTCTACTTCATCCATTTTTAGGTTGTAAGTCTATTTTTTGCTTCGTATTTTTTTGGTCAAATAAAAACAAGTTGCAACAAATTAAACATGTACATTTACTCTCAAGCTCATATGTTCCACTCACAAATTACATCCGAATTAATTAAGTTGCCGTAACTAACTCGTTTAGGGTTTTCTCGGATCAACACCGCGTTAAAGGACACTTTCGAATTGTCCAAACAACTCATCAACCAACCCATATAGCTTGACTTATGCCCAACTAAATTTGTGATAGATCCGACCTTCATACGACGTGCTTGTCTAACCTAAAACAAAACTTGTAATAGCTGTAAATTGTTCATCGTCATTTATTAGGAGTAATTGAAAGGAAAAAAAAATGAAGTGGTAAATAAAGAAAATTTTCGTAGTAATTAAAGTGAGTGGTGCATGGATAACCGGCCAACAATAGTATGGTGCGCGCTGTTAATCGAGAAACCGTTGGAATTTCGTGTCATCTTTTTTTTTTTTTTTGACAAGACGAACTAAAAAACAAAAATACAACACAAACAAAAAAAAACTAGAAAGACCACAACAACAGATGACGCTGACGCGCTTGAGTTGCCAACCAATGAGCAGGAGCTACCCACTGTCGAGGAACCTTCTGAACAACACAAGACGAAAACCGAGAGACTAAATTCCTGATATCTTGCAACAGCCACAAACAAGAAATATCCCGACACCCATCATTACCGAGGAAAGATAACAAAGACGAGCAATCCGTATAAATCAGCAAGTGTTGAAAAGCACGATGATCTGCTGCCTGTAAAGCCCAGAAACAAGCCTGCAACTCTGACTGAAAGGCCGAAGAAGAAAGGAATGCTCTAGAACCCCCTTCAAGAACAGTAGCAGAATGTGGAGATCTAAAAATCCAACCAGCCCTTGTAGTATTATCACGGGAGTTGTAAGCACCATCGATCAAAAGAAAGACATCAGCGGAAGAATCTGAAGATCCCATAAGATAACATGACGAGAGAGGAAGTTGCCTGATAGCACCAGAGGCAACCCCAGTAAGACGAGCAGAGGCCCTAAAATCATCGACCGCAGAACATCGAGAAACCCAGTCCTGCATAATATGAAGAATCACAGTAGGAGAAATAACAGCATAACGAAAAACCTTGTGATTCCGAGCTATCCAAATGGCTCAAAAGAAGGAGACTACGGTGATTAACGTGTCCCAAAGTTTATTCTGCCGCAACTGAGAAATCAAATCCGCAAACCAGACATGAAAATGAACGTCCCGACGAATGACAAGAGACGAAAGCAGAGGAACAGACGTCCAGATATCCGAAACAAAAGAGCAGTCTCGAAACAGATGAGCAACAGACTCATAAGAACCACGACAAAGAACACAAGTAGCCTCTACTGGGATCCCTCGCTGTTGCAGAATACCATTAGGGGAAGCGCATTTTGAAGGAGCTTCCAACAGAATAATTGTAACTTTGGCAAAAGCGGCAAACCCCAGAAAGCCTTCCACCATGAAGAAGTTAAGCCAGAACCCTTGGAAGAGTAGTCGAGATGACGTAACAGCATGGCGTAGGCTGATTTAGTAGAAAAAACCCCATCCTTAGAATATTTCCAGTATACAAAATCATCCATCGATCTTCTCGGGCGCTCAAGAGTCAGAAAATGACCAGTTGTAGAGGAATCAAACAGCTGATGAACCCGAGAAGTATGCCACGCGTAGGAACACGAATCTATGATAGAAGAAACATGAGACGGGAGAGGCGTCTCACAATTATCACGAAACCTGATTGAATCACCAGGAACCCAAGAGTCCTGGAGAATGTGAACCCGAGACCCGGAACCGACTTTCCAGGCCGCACCTTCTGCTAACACAGAGAAACCCTGTAAAAGGCCTTGACACCCCAAGAGGATCCTGGAATTCTCCTAGTCTGAAAGAGACGGAGAGAAGGATACCGAGCTGAGAGAGTCCTTGAAACAAGAAGCTGAGGATTATGGTGAATGCGCCAACATTGTCTAGCCAACAGAACTGAATTGAAAGACTGAAGCTGACGAATTCCTAATCCACCCAGACCTTTTGGAAGATGCAAAAGGGTAGAAGAGCGCAGAGCCAACCCTCGAGAACGATGATCCGATCTCCACCAGAAGCGAGCTAACAGACCATCCACTTTAGAACAGATAGACAAGGGAACTTTGAAAATAGAGAGAATATGATTAAAAGAAGCCACCAAAACAGAGTTGATGATAATTAATTTAGCTGCAGACGAAAGACCAAGGGAAGCAAAAGCCGACAAACGCTGAACTACCTTATCAATCAAGAAACCAAAATCCGCAACCTTACTACGACCCAGCTCCACCGGGACACCCAAATAAGAACCCAGAGTAGACTTACACTGAAGCTTCAAACTCCGGCTAAGAAAATCTCGATAGTCTGTCGGAGTGTTAGGACTAAACTTAACAAAGGACTTCTGAAGATTAATCACTTGTCCCGATAATGAGCAAAACTCCGAGAGAAGAGTCATAAGATTTTCACAAGCTTCAGGAGAAACTTGCAAAAATAATAGAGAATCATCAGCGAAAAACAGGTGAGAAATAGTTGGAGCGTTCCAAGGAATACAAATACCCTTAAGAAGAGAAGCCCGCTCAGCCCTTCGAATCATAGCCGACAGAACCTCCATACATAGAACAAACAGGTAGGAAGACAGGGGATCACCCTGTCGAAGACCACACTGAGGGAAAAAAGTCGGTAGGGGATTACCATTAACCAAAACTTGATAGGAGACCGTTGAGACGCACTGACGAATAATGTGGATCCAATAAGGAGGAAACCCATAGGCCTGAAGCAAACGAAACAGAAAATCCCAATTGACCCTATCATAATCTTTGTTCATATCCAACTTAAGAGCAGCAAAAAACTTCTTTTTAGCTTTGGACTTGTTCATAAAAGAAAGAACTTCGTGCGCAATCAGGGCATTATCCGAAAGAAGTCTTCCTGGAACAAAAGCATTCTGATAATTCACAACCAAACTGGGTAACACTTGTCGAATCCGACTTGTAAGGCATTTAGCCACACACTTATAGATGACATTACAAAGACCAATCGGACGGAATTGAGAAATAAATTCCAGATTATCCACCTTTGGTAGTAAAGTCAAAAAAGTGCGATTCCAGTCCTTCAGCATATAACCATGAACAAAGAAATGTTGAACCGCTACCACTACCGATTGACCAACCAACTGCCATGAAGATTTAAAAAAAGTAGACGGGAAGCCATCAGGCCCAGGAGATTTACCATCATTAATACTAAAAATAGCAGATCGAATCTCTTCCGAGGTGAAAGGTTCCATAAGAAATGCTCGCTGAGTAGAGGAGAGAGAGGGAAGACAAAGGCTATCCCACCAATCTGTATCAGAGGTAGAAATTTCAGGAGACGCTGAATACAACTCTTTATAAAAGTGTAGCGTAATTGAATTGATTTGAGCTGTATCCTGATGCCAACAACCAGTGGAGTCTCGAAGACCCAAAATTTTATTCTTTCGTTTACGAGATTGGAACTTAGAGAACAAAAGGCGAGAATGTGAATCTCCCAAATCGTCCCACTTAGTTTTAGCACGTTGCTGCCAGAAAATATAAGCTGCCTGTGCTTCAGCAATCCGCTCATTCTTAGTAGAGATGAACAAGCACCGGTCTGCACGGGAGCAGAGAGTTTGCGAAGCTTGTTGAATATCAAAGACAAGCTGTTTCCAGTTAATACCCCAAGCTTTTTTTATGGGAAATACACCAAGTTAAAAGACGATCCCGAGCAACAGAGAGCTTACGAGATAAGGCAAACATGAGAGATCCAGGAAAGAACAAGGAAAACACAGAAGCTATAATGTTGTGTATAGCTGGAGCTGACAAACACCAGTTCTCTACACGATAGGGACGTTTACTGAAGTCAGAATCTGCAGAATCTGACAGGATAACAGCAGCATGGTCTGAAAATAAGATTGGCTGGTGCAAAAGCTTAGTATCCGGATAATTAGTAAACCAAGTGGAAAAGCGATAGGCTCGATCTAGACGTTCAAAAATGGGATCCGAATCCAATCTGTTATTAGTCCAGTTATAACGAGGACCAGAAAAAGGAACGTCTACCAAGTCCAAACCTATCCTCCACTTCATAAAGTCCCATTGTCCCGGAATCGAGAAATTACCCCCTAATTTGTCCGAACTATATTCCACTTGATTAAAGTCCCCAATAATCACCACATTTGAAATTGTGTCCATTAAATTACTAATCAAGTACCAAATCTCCAAGCGATTAGTAATATGAGGCGAGCCATACACAAACATTACATGTTTTATTTCATCTCCTTGCACTAACTTACATAGATATACATTTTGTGAAGCATATACAGGGACTAAACTAAACGCTAAAAAAAAACATATGAACAAACCACCACTAAGACCTACAACATCCATACCACAACAACCCAAAAAAGGTAAAGATGCTAACTTTTGAGCTACATTATCCACAGACGTCATTGTCTCCAAAAGACAAACTAAATCCAAACTATGAGAGCGGACTAAGGTTGTAATATAAGGAATTTTAGGGGAGTCCGCTTGTCCTAAGCCCCTACAATTCCAAAGAGCAACTCTCATCCCGAAGGTGGTGACCTTTCACGGGAGGTCACCGATCCCTCAGAAGATGCCGGAGAAGAAGATTGAACATCCTCCTTGCGCTTCTTGTAAGGAAGAAAGCAAGGAAGACAAGTAGAGCATGAAGTATGTTGTTGTTGCTCATCAGGGAGAGGCGGAGTAAGCAAGCCCCCTGCCCTCTTACGCGGCCCATGATTCTTGACCCACTCCCACATTTTTTCGCCGCTCTTACGGAGCTTCAAACTTGAATAAGACTTCAGCTTGCCACTGACCTTACGAAGCGGAGAACAGGACAAGGTTTTAACAGGGGATGGAGGAGGTGAAACTTGAATCTCTAAGGTCGGAGATTGCGGCGGAGAACAGTCCATAGGGACCGCAGAACCGGTGTCGGAAAAAAAAGGAATCTGAATTAAAAGCATCATGCTCATCAGAGGTAGGATCCAAAATCTGATTCTCTTCAATTTCAGGTGACGGAAAGAAATCGAAAGCCGCCGACGAAGAGTCCGCAATATTCCCAGAATTTTCAGAGTTCTCGACCAGAAAAGAAGAAGAGAAGGACGGCGACGATGAAGCAGCAGCCGTTGTGCCTTCCCAGTTGCTTGGACCGGCGCCGAACGGGTCATCGAAGGTCGGACCTGTAGGACCCATTGGGGGCGGAGAGAAATACAGGATGGTTGGACCCGAATCCGGCACCACTTGATCCGTATCTCGGTTGATTTGGGAAGCTTGATAATATGGATCACCTTCGAAAAAATTGGGCCAGCCCAAACTTGAATCTGTAGTGAGCCCATCATAGTAAAATTCATTTTGAGAAGGAAAGCTGATTTGCGAAGAAATAATTCGTGAAGAAAGAGCCCAATCTGAGCCATTAAGGCCCATTTGAGTTGGCGTAAGATTTGTATGAGTTGGGCCCATATCCGAATTACTGGACCATCCTTGAATGTTAGAAGAGTCCAAAAAGTGCCGCCAGCCTTCACGTGAGTCATTCGGATGAGAGTTCCCATCTGATGTTTCTCATGAAGCCTACGTGCCATACCATAGCTTGCATGATTGCCACGTGGAGTCAAGGTGTCAACCGGATCTTGAGTTTCGAGTTGCTCTAAAATGGAAATTGTTAGACTACTGACTATACCACTTGTGTCACTCTCAATCCAATTGTTTCTTAGACTACTACGTGTCGATTTTTTATTTGATTTCATGCATTACTCTTTTTTTGTATGCTATTGCTGAAAAAACTATTCCCTTGTCTCTTACTCCCTCCGTCCCTAATTGTTTGCTCCATTTTCCTTTTTAAGGTGTCCCTAAAATATTGCCTCATACTATTTTTGGCATGTTTTCCCACTTGCACTCTCTCTATCTCTCTTCTCATTGATATTTGTGTCAACCCATGTGCACCATTTTTTGCCCAAAGCCTTAATAAAGTAGATTTATAGTTTGGGGCAAATAATTGTTGACAAAGGGAGTATTTGTCAACGCAAAATTGAAAGAGTATATAAACTAATTATGAAAGCAAAGGATAATATTATTTTTGGGCCCCTATTGGCCATGGCACTCCTCGCCTATCATAAGGGTTGGGGCTCTGTAAGTCATCATGTAAAAAGACACCATTCAACAAGACACTTTTTACATCAAGTTGAGGAATTGACCTTTTTTTTAGCCAATGCAAGACTAAGTTTTGTACGAATAATTGTCGGTTAATCCATCGGACTAAACATCTCATCACAATCCACTCCTAGTCTTCTACTTCTTCACAAACAAGACGAACTTTGTGCCTTTTTTAGGTCACCATTAAACTTGTATTTATGTTTAAAAAGCCACAAACAATTTACAACATTCACCCCCGCATACTTAGGCACCAAATCCCACGTCCTTGTTTTAATCAAAGCACTGTACTTGTCGTCATGCATCGCCGCATTCCAAATAGGATCCAGAAGAGCTAGCTTGTGAGACTTCGGTAATGGAGATTTATGAGGAGCTGAGCTTTTAGTTACTCTTAGGATCAACAAAGTTATACTTGGAATTTGGTTTGTATATGCCCCAGCTCGTTGACTACGAGTGATAGGGGGTGTTGGAGGAGGAGGGCGAGTGGGTTGTGATTAGGGGATTTTGCTCCTCCCAATAAGAATGCGCCACGTGGGCCAATCAGGTCCTGCCAAGTGTCCCCCAGTTGGAACTGTCAGGGCTTGCCACGTGGCATGCGCTTATTCGTCCACCTTGGACCTGTTATGTCATGACATGTGGCATACTCCATGCCTAATGGAGAAACCGGCCACCTAGGCCCAACTTCCGAGGGAAGCCCAATCGGCCCTAGGTTAACCTAAACCTAGGATGGGCACGTTTCCCAAGGTTATAAATACCTCCCTTAATCCTCATTAAGGGGGGATTACAAAAAAAAACACATTAATTACACACAGTAATAACCGGCTGATCTCGCTAACAAAGCAGATTACCTACATTAAACACTCTCACCTAGAGAGACCCAATCACTTTAATTTCCTCATTAATTACTCCTTAATCAAGTACTAACTTGACCGTTGGAGGCGGAGCTCCCAGGAGTCTCCGTTATTTTGCAGGTACAGGCGTCGGTTCCAGTCTCGGAATTGTAACTCTCCCGCAGGACATCAGAAAACCCCGAAACATTTGGCGCCGTCTGTGGGGAGAGTACTTCTGAGATGGCATCCAAGTCTGTACCGACTCCTGAAGAGAGGCGTCCCCTAGACGACCCTCAAGTTCAGTCGGACCATGATACCGAGAGTGAATTTGAAGTTGAAGCTCACACAGCTTCAGACGGGACCCTAAGGGCCCGACGTACCCGTCATACCGAAAGGAGGGAACGGGAACATCTTCAAACTGGAAGTGAGCCAGCAGGCGCACCGCCTGTTCGGCAACAGCCGACTGATGGGTCTGCTCCCATCACAAGGAACGAACTCATGACCTTCATGAGGAACTTCAAGGGAGAGATTCAAGAGTTGATCAACAAGAAGCCGCCTGCTCCAGTCAAGGAGCAGTCGGCTAAGAAACCCTCCACTTCACTGAAGAGGAAGCCAGTTCAAGGGCGAGAGGCGACTCCTCATCCTAAATCTAGGAAGCGGGAGCCACCTGCCCTTGATTTCACAAAATTCCGTTTTCCTACAGGAAATAGAAAACCTGTTCGTCATATTCAGGCGAACGGGTCGAAGCAAACATTCACAGACGCTCGGCTACTGCTAGAGCAGAAGAAGAGTGACCGATTGTCAGAGTCGGCCTCTACTTCAAACTTTCAAGAAAGTCTGCGAAATGCCTCAATGAGGCATACTCAGTCGTATCATGAGAGTCAGTCAGGAGGCACCTCCCGTCAGTCCGGCTTTCATAGCGACCAGGCGGTACCAAACTTACCATTTGTGCCGCAACAAAAGTATTTTTTGCAGCCACCTCCGTTTGGTGGACCTGCAGAAAAAAAAGTCCAACCTATGGACTGGCAGCTACGGTTGCTTAGACTTGGTGAACATCCGTCGGCCTTCTCCAAGGAAATTACTGAAGCCGCTCAGCCGACCAAAGTGAAAAATGTACTAGTAGGCGCCTATGACGGCACTACTAACCCAGAAGACCATCTGATGGCATTCACCAACCTGATGTACCTTCAAGGGTTGGATGATCCCACTTGGTGCAAGTGTTTCCCAGCGACTCTCAAAGGAATCGCACAACAATGGTTCGGCAACCTGCCGACTGGTTGTGTAAATAGCTTCAGGACGCTTGCTTACTTATTCACCTCCAACTTCGCCATGAACATCCCTGCGAAGAAAACGACCCTTGATTTAGGAACAATTCAGCAGGGTGAGAAGGAGGGGCTTCGTTCTTACATCAGGCGGTTTAACCTGATGAGAATACAGATTCAAGGGTTACCAGATGAGGTAGCCTATACTGACTTTTTCAGACGTCTCAAAGACGAGTCTACCTTCAAATTTGATTTGGTTCGAAAGAGGGTGGCGACTCTTCAAGAGGCCTTGATTGAAGCAGAAGCCTATATACAGGCGACTGATCTTTGTACGGTAAAACAGTAGGACGGGAAAAGGTTCGACAAAAGAGAAGGACGACAGAAACAGTCGTCAAACAAAGATGAGAAAAGAAAAGAGGTCTGGGCGGCTGATTCCTCTAAACAACCGGCCCAGAAAAAGAAAAAAGAATTCAAACCATACTCCCCAAAGTATGCGTTTAACAAGGATAACCAGTTTATCCTAAAAGAAATCAAGGGACGGATCTCAATTGAGAAGCCGGTCCCCATGAAGGGTTCTGCAAACAACCGGAACAAAGATAAATTTTGTGCTTATCATGATGATGTTGGTCATCACACCAATGACTGCATCAGTCTCATGCGGTATCTGGACCGCCTGGCTGAGCAAGGTGATCTTGACACTTATGTCAAGAAATCTACGGGGAACACTTCCTCAAAAAAGCAGTCGGCCAAAAAGAATCAACAGGCCGACAGCTCCGATACAGATGATGCAGTCGTCTACACCATTGCAGGCGGTTAGATGTAAATTCCGTTCACCAAGAACGGTCGTCCAAATATTCATTTCCTGAGATTGTCATCACTGAAGAAGATCTAGGAGGGATAAGAGGGCCGCATGACGACCCTATCGTTATTGAATGTAAAGTGTCCAACCAGAGAGTTGGCCGAATCCTCATAGATACCGGAAGCTCCTCAGATCTCATCAGTAGCAACTGTCTGGCGAAACTAAAATATCAGACTGATTGCATACATCCGGCCTCCCACCCTTTAGTAGGGTTTGGAGGAGGAGGAGTCCACCCACTGGGACGAGTGGATTTACCCATTCGCCTGGGCGAAAAAGGGGAAGGACGACACATGGTAGTCCGGTTCCTGGTAGTAGAAGAACTCTCGGCCTACA